GGGCAAGGTTCAGTTATGGAGATACTAAAAAGCATGTTTGGCACAAGCACTGTTGAATTTGAACAATTCCCAGACAAGCCTGTGGCAGCTCAGCAGGACACTTCTCTGTGTGTTTTCTCAGGTGCTGCTGGTGGCTGGAGCTGGAGCTAAGCCTAGATTTGGAGCTGGACATCAGGTCTGGTTTTGAGCCATGGGAAGAGGTATATGGTACAGTGGCTAAACAGGAGCTAAGTTTGAGTGGCAAAACGTCAGCAGAAAATATGTGAACGCAGAAGTATTTGGGATGACATTTATTTCTAACTAAAGGTGACACAATTCCTTGTAAAATAGGAGAAAATAAGTTTTGGAGTTGCAGCTTCATCGGCATGTATTGTTTAATGGTGAGTTTGTCCTGCCAGTTAGAGTCAAAATAGATGTATTGTTTGAAGTGTCATCTTGTCCTGAGTCTATCTCAACTGGCCAGTGCATGTCATCAAGTAGCAGAAGGGCAACTGGTTCCCTTCTCTGGTTCTGCTTTTGCCTGGCCAGTCCTGGCTCAGTTACACCAAACTTAGGAGTTGGATCTGCTTTAAAGTGGCTTTTAGTAGGTCACCCTGTGTGGATAAAGGCTGTTAAAACAAACATTTGTGGAATGGCACTGTGATATATTTGTGATTTTATGGCTGTTGTCACTGCTCTGGGTTCTGCTGCAAGAACCAGTGAGTTGTTGTATCCCTGACTGAGTCTGGCCCAGTGTGAGACAGGAGGGCTGGGAAGCCTGTTGGGAATGGAATGCAGGGACATAGCCTGTGTGGCACAGTGTCATTGCACTGTGTGCAGGGTGTTTGTGGACAGAAGTGCTGTTTGTGTGATACCTGTGAAACACAAGCCAATCTTGCTGGTGATTTACTGAAATCCAGTCTTGGTGTGGTGGTTGATTTACTAAAGGGAGTTTTGGTGTGGTGGCTCTCTTCCCTAGAGAGTTTTATGTAAAGTGTTCAGGGTAAATTACTGAAAGGGTCAGAATTACAGTGATGTTCTGCAAAACTTGGAATATTTAGCAGTTAACTTGGCCTTTAAGGATTGTACAGCATTTGAGACATGTGAAGTGAATCTCATTAATTCTATCAGCACTTTTATTGGAGTTGAAAAGTCTCAATGAACCATGGAAGCAGTAGCAGACTGCGAGTTGGATGGTGTGCCCAGACCTTGTCCTCAGAGCAGGGAGTGTCACTGGGAGCCTCTGGTGTCCACAGCTTGTCTGTACAAGCTTCTGCCATGCTGCAGATGCCTCACTTCCCTCTCTGCAAGGTTTGGGTCAGGCCACTTGTTTGCTTTGGATTCTTTTTGCACAGCACTGCTTTTATCCCACTCTTCCTTGGTTCAGGTGGCCCTTGTGGAAGGTGCTGCTTGGCCTGCTGAGTCTCCTCCCAGCCAGCACCCATGCTCTGCATTCCCCTTCTGAGCACTGACCCCTCTGGGTGCTGCACCTTGGATTTGTGCTGGGCTGGCTGTTCTGAGGGACTGCTCTGCTTCCCTCCAGCAGCTGGGAGAGCTTCGGCATCAGAGCACCCCATTGACAAAAGGAGCAGCTGCAGACTGGGGGTACTGTGATGTGACACAATTAAATACTTAGCTGTAAGGCAAGAGAACACAGAATGTTGTGGAGCTCTTCTATAGTTGGCTCTCAGATAGTTGTTACAGGTTTCACTTGGTCATTGAGGAAGACTGATTTGTAGCCAACTTCTTCTTCACTGTGTTAGAGGTAGTACTTGAAATAATGAAGCCAAACATGGGAGTGTAGAGGTTAAACTGAAATTTGGAGATGAGTTAGTCTAGTGTTCAGATGTTTTCAAGACACACTTATAATATTCACATATCCCAGCTAACACTGGCAGGATAACTGTTATATCCATAATATCCCATGAAGGATAATACTTGTTTAAGAGTAAGAATGCGTTAGGGTACGTTTCAGCAAAGGTTTTGAGCACAGGGTAGGTAGGTGATGTACTTTAAAGAAATTTCAGCTTGTTACATTTGAAAATTATTTGATTGTTGTTTCCTTTAGTAAACCTTTACCTGGTTTTAGTGTTTGTATTGTTATCAAACATTAGTAATTTTTTTCTCCCCTGTTTCCCTCTCCCCCCTAAAGGCAACATTTCGTTTCTGTAAAGCTTCACATACTTGCCTTGTTCCCTTTTACTGAGAGGTTGCTTTCCATTTTTGTTGGGTTCAGTTGCATTAATGATTGGTGCTTACTATGGAAAATTCTGGGAAAATAGCTGGAGTTTTGGACAAGGCATTGAGAGGAATTGACATAAATCACTATGCCTGAAAAATACAGAAGTCAGGGGGTTTTTCCTAGTTTCACTTACTGATTTTTCTCTCTCACAAATATGAGCGATTAAAAAACAATTGTGAAAGTTCATTGTAATTATTGACTACCAAAAATGCTACAGTGGAACAAATGTCTAATTTATACTTGAGGTTAAAAAGAATAGGGATCTGTTGTAACTGGTATGGACTTTTTTAGTCACAGAACACTTTAGGTCTACGGTGTAATTATTGCTGATCCCAACTAATGACTGTTTCGGGGATTATCTCTTTTGGAGGCAACCATCTGCTGTGGTTAGAGTAATTAACTAAACATAATTAAGGGTTGACTTAGTTAGAAAGCAAAAGTATGTCTGTAGGAAAAAAATGTAATTTCTTCAGTTCAGAATCAATTCAGAAATACCAATATTCCGGTTATCTGTTAATGGCTTTAAACAAGCAGCTAAACTAAAGGTTGAAGCAGCACTCTGAGAACCTCCTCCAGCCCCTGCAAACAGAGTCAGAGGGTGAGGGAGGAGGGAGCCTCACAGGGCTCTGCATTGCTCTTCTCCCAGTGCTTCCTTGATGCTGTTTTGACCAGTTCAGACAGATGGCCACGGTGGGTAAGAGCTTGCAAATACAGCTAAATTTACATTTGTGTGTTTAAAAAGTATTGATTTGCCAAGGGTATCTTCCTATTTATGACCCAAACATGGATTGCTTGTAGGTGGTTCTTAGCTGTGTGTATTTATAAAACACATCAGATGGTCACATTCTGGAACTACAGCCCTGTCAGCCAGACCTCAGTGCCCAGGAGTGATGGCACAGCGTGGGCCGGGTCAGGCCAGTGTGGGTTTGTGTCCAGGTCTGGCCCCTCAAGGCTTCAAGGGGCTGGAATGAGTCCAGGGCAGAGGAGCTGGTGGGGGGGCTCGAGGGTCTTGGAGGGCATTAGCCTCCATGCTCAGTATAGTAGTAGATACTTTTTTTTTGGTACCATATTTGCAGAAAAAAGTGAGTTCTCTTCTGCATGCATGGAGACGCTGTATGATAGATTGGGCTGCACAGGGCAAAAGCAGTGAAACCTTTGGGTGCTGCTGTGGGCACAGCAGCTGTTGGCAGCTGGTGCCAGGGGTGGGCAGTTCTGTATGACACTGGACCTCCTGTGTTAGCTGTTTTGCCTTTGGGAAAGGAGTGCCTTTAGTTCTGCTGGCAAACCCAGGAGACTTCTCTGGCACTCGGAAACTGCCGTGTGTAAAACCTACTGGTGATGAGGAATGAATGATTTAGTTAATAAGGGCGCAGTATTTTCTGTGTTTCTCCATGGATTTTGCTTTTGTATGTGCTTTGGTTTTTGAAGATTCGTTTTTACTGGCTGAGAGGAACCAAGGATGCTGCATCTTTCTGGAAGAGATAACATATTCTGGCTTTCCAAGTGATCATTTGGAAAGGCACTTTTCAGCACAACTTTGGATCAGAAGTGCTGTTTAACACAGCAGCTTTCTAAATTGTTGGAATTCGGAAAAGTGGGTCTTTCTTGCATACTTGGCATTTTGTTTTGCAAGTACTGGGAGTGAGATTTCATAGCAGTTGGCTGACTTAGGCTCAGTCCTTGTCCCCTCAGTTCCCCGTGAGAAATCTGAGAAAGGGAGTTGCCTTTGTCCCTGAGGGAGACTCCAGGGTAGGAACCGGTTTCTTGGGAGTTTCCCTGTTACGAGTTCAATATGCTTAGTCTTGTTGCTTTTTGAATAACACAGGGACTTTGTGAAGGTTTCTTCCCCACCTTATTTGTACTCTGATCTGACTTCCTATCAACTGCAGCCCTGGCAGGCTGAGTCATAGAGTCAGTTGGTGCTGCTGTCACTGTGTTAAGACATCGTTGGCTTAACTGCAGTTTTTAACTGTTTGAGAAACTACTTCTCAACAAGTAGTGTTTTAATAATAATAATTTCACTGTCTGTTTTCCTTACAGTACGGATGCTTGTTCAGTGAAATAAGTCTTGGTTTAGACAATTCATGGCACAAATAA